CTTTCTTTCCCTCTGCCATCAGACTCCTAAACTTCTGAGGAGTTTATTACCAGGAAATACGTGATGTACTGTTTACATTCTGTTTGCACATGCATAATTGCACAATAACTGTTGACTGCTGCACATGCTGCTCCCATGCAGCATACATTCTCTATTATATTCTTTTATTGTATTGCTGCATTTGCTGCTTAAAGTGCCTTAGATTTTGTGTTATCTACTTTATATTTCATATGTATTATGTGGCATTCATGTGGACGGCAAAGTAAGAATTTCATTGTACAGGGAAACACGTTTCCTAACTGTGCATATGACAAATAAACACTTTGACCTTTGACCTTATTATAAGGCTAATGCTAAACTTTAAATTGTGCATAACTGCTGACTTCATGGCTTATTTCTGGTTGAGCTGGATTTATATTTCACTCTTCAGTTCTGCACCCCCCCGTAACTGTGCTTACTTTCTTTTGCGATACAGAGTGCCGGTGGGCTACACACACCCTTGAAGAGCTGGAGTTACATCCGGGAAACTATGTGGCCATGGACTCATTACTAACTGGGGAACCGCGGCCTTTCAGTTGCTGTGAGAGCAGGTCTGCAGTGTGATAGTTCTGGTGGATGGGTTACAGAAAAGGAGATGATAGCCCTTCTTCAATCGCATTTCTTACAGTCCTGATGTGTAATCCGAGTAGTCGACCTGCATCTCGAGCTCAGCTATTTTGGACTCATTTAAAAGAGTCAAGTTTGAAGCAAATCATTTTTGAATGTTCATAAAGTTCCCTGTCACAGTCCCTGCTGCCTGAAGCACGGTGTCATCAAAATGACATTTCTGTGTGACTTCAGATGACAATGCATTAACTGAAAATCCGAGTGTATCCCCTATAGCGGCGTTATTTTTCTGACAGACACAGCTTCAGGCAGAAACTGCCAACAGCATGCGTAGGGACTCCGACTGTGGCTGTGAAGGAAACGAGCCTTTCTGCATTCGCGTCCTTTACCCTCTAGAAAGCACTTTGCAGCCGAACTGCCTGCTGAAAGAGCCTCATGAATAAAAATGTGGCTTTATTTTCCAGAGACAGCCATTGACCATTAGCAGGCATCACCAAAGGCTTGACTAAGACATTATTTTAGATAAAGAAGCCTCTTCATCGGGACTGGCATTTTGGCTTAGGGTTATTTGAACTGTCTACGATTATTCTATGATTGCATTTAGTTAAATTTACTTTTGATAAGAGACTTGCCTAACTGTTGAGAATGCAAACATCAAGGAGAACAAGCCTACAGCACTTCTTGATTAACTCTGTATTCATGGCCTGTTCTCTCCATGTGGTATTCTGCGGTGAGCCCGTTTGCTCAAGGTGTTTTATACTATAAATAACTCTGAATTCATTTACAGAACAAAGGCTATAAAATCAACCAAGAGGAACAGCCATATGTGCTCACTCAAATACACACACACACACACACACCATAAATCAAAATCCTTTTATAGCAACTTCATATTGTGGGAGACAGTGAGCGCAAGAAGCTGTCGGCAAGAGAGGCTAAAATTTAATTGGGAGTTTGATTTATGGTGAAATTTATGGCGGAACGATGGGCCAAAGATCAAAATCCAGCATCTGATTTTAAAGTGCACTTGCCTGAATTGAATTTACTTGAAGGTTACATTAAGGTTAAATAAGTTTCAAAGGGCACTGCTGTGAATAAAGTTTCAAAATGAGAAAGAAGGAATATGGAAGAACAGCTCTGCAGCACGACAGAGGACCATCCATTAGGTGAGAAAACGCTGTGATGACACTTAGCATAATGCAGTTAGACTGGGAAGTGACTGAAGCAGGAGGCAGAGGCTGCATATTTAGGGTAATGAGCCTGTGACCAGTAGTTTGTCGGGTCAGCAGCTCAGATCAGTTGGGACATTTGTCTGGCTGAACAGGATGCAGCTCTGCTGACTCGACAACCCGCGGCTGACGTGCCCTCAAACATGCAGCTTAACCTCCAGCTCACAGAAGTTCTCTTTACAACTGCAAGAAGACACTGTTCCTCAAACTTTATAGTAAATTATGTCCTATTAGGCCTTTAGGAACCAGCAGATCTAGGGACTTAGTACTAGGGACTACCCCACTGGTGAACTACACATCTCCATGGGCTTTTTAATCTGTTTGCATTCGCACCAACAGCAGGAACGCTGAAGTAACGTAACACTAAAAGCTGTATCTGCTGCTTTTGATTTGACACTAAACTGAATATCCATGGGTTTAGGACTGTTTTCCAGACTATACAAGCAATATTAAGACGCCCCCTTATGTTTTAGGAAATTGTGATGGACAGTTCTCACTATATAACATTTGTGAGACTAAACTAAAATTCACTGTGCACCTGTTTTTGATCTATGCAGTAAAATAAATGGCAGTGGATTCCCATTTGTTTTTTTCTGTTGGAAAACTAAAAGCCCCGCTAACACAACGTAGCTACAACATGCTGTATGTTGCCTTTTAGAGCAACTGTTCCTCAACTGACTCACTTCCTAACAAAATGCTACCGGTGGCCTTCGTCTCAAACATGATAAGAGCTTCAGAGCACGTTGCTAACTGACGCAGAGGTAAAAAAAATCTACAATAAGAATAAAGTAGATGTAAACACTTGATGCGTTTCCATCTCCATGTTGCATTTCAGTGTTACTTTGTGTGATACCTCTGCCATGTTGATGAGTCCCAGGGCCAGGGTCTTGTAGCCCAGGATGGTGCGGTTCTTGTATCTCTTCCGTCGCTGCAACATGATCTGAAGCTTGTTGGCGTCCCTTTTAAGGAAGTGTGGGTACTGCAGGTACAAACACAGACACACAAACAGCTCATGGGTGGGTGACTGACTTTCTGGATGGGTTTAGACTAAAAATGTCATGATAACTAGGCCAATTTAACAGGCACCCGCACCTGTTGACCTGTTCGTGGGTTCCTGGAGAGTCAAACCACTTATTCACATCTAAACTAGGACATAACCCATCATTAAGGATCTCACCGGCTGCACTCCAACAACAAAACAAAATTCCTGTGACAATGTTCAAAGCTATGAGCTCACTCAGCTGCTCTGCTTTAATAGGCGTCCTCTGGCTCCGTGCACTCAGTGAGATCCACAGAGAGAAACTCTCTGACCTTTTAGCAGCATTTAGAAACATGGCAACTGGAAAAGGATGATTTGGAGCAGAAGAGACTCTACTGGAAAGAACATTGACCATGCTGTGCCTGAATGCACAGAGACGATGTGACAAAGTATCAAAGGTTCTGATTTGGATCAACACTGTTAATGACACACAGGGTTGCTTCACACACAGCTGGAAACATAAATACACCAAAAACATATTTTGATGTCTTTCGAAAAATGGTTTTCCTTTCACCTAATCAGTAAACAGTCCCTTCAGGGTGGCATGTGGTGAATCCCAATAAGTGCATCCACGAGTTTCCCTCACTTGCGTCTGTTCCTTGTGTCTTAGTCCTGCCGATGTAAGATGCAAGGAAAAGATGCAAGGAGAAACTGCGAGGAGAGAGGAACAAGAAAACACGGTTTAACTGATATGAGACGTCCTTTCCTCTGATCCTTCATGTGAAGCATCCAATCACAAACTAATTTCTAATAAAGAGGCGTGTCAATCCGTAACAGACTTCCACAAAGTGTATCCTTGGTTGTAGCTCCACCAGGCAGCCTCCTCGCTCCTCAGAGGAGTAATAAAGGCTTTGGGATGTCCTTCATCATGGTGGACAGAGGGTCAAGCGAGAATCAAGGAATGGGATTCACCTATGGTGCTGGTCCTGTTGGATTACTGTAATGCAGAATTTGCTGTAGCTTGTGACTACATTTGTTTGTTATTTAAATAAATAAATAACACTAAATTACTGCTGTATTATTTGAGAATTTAATGTTTTATCTATGTGTTGTGACATTTCCACTTTTAGTTTTAACACTGCTCACTAACACACAGATTCTAATGTAAATAATTTAACCAGAGTAGGACCTCTACCTTCACCCTAATCCATCTCAAAGCTGTTCTTTGGTTTATTTTCCATTATACAGTACCAGCTCTTTAAGGATTTGACAGTGGGTTGATGTGGGTGCTGCTATTCATCCTCCATTTCTGTTGCATCAAAAAGTAGAAGAACAAAGCATTTGTTTGCTTTTGAGTGACAGGCAGCCGACCTGTCTGATACTTTACCTGAAGAGAGAAGGTGAGCTGCAGGTCCGTCTCCGTCAGCCCTGCTGAGGGCAGCAGAATCTCATTGGAGCGCAGGATCCGCTTGGAGCCCTGAGGAGGCGAGAGAAGGAAGAAAGAGAGACAACAGCAAAACCATTATGAGAGCAGGGAAAGATGGAAAATACATTTATTAGCGTGACCCAGCTAACTCCAGCAGAGTCAAAACAATGAGCCCTCATGAACCACATGCAGTGAGAAGCGCGTGGGAGAGGAAGAGGCTGAGGAAAAAAGAGGCAAAGAAGACAAAACTGACTGATAGTAGGCAGCACAGAGGGGAGACTGAGCAACTGGCAGCAGCGTGAGAGGAGAATTAAAACAGCTTAAAGTCTATTAGGGGTTGCACACAAAGAATTTATTGGTTTACTCAGATAGAAAACAAAATGGAGACAATGAGGAGCACAAACTGGGAGTGGAGGCAAAACATTAAATAGGAATGGAAATGGTATCATTTCCAAAAAGGCAAAGAAGCTGTTGGTTTCCATCAGTGAAGCTGGAGATAACAAAGAGCACATGAAACAGCAGCAAGGGTGAAAAAGGAAGTGTCAAGGGAGAGAAATTACACGCCAAGAAGGTGTTAACTGACACAACACACACAGAGCAGAGCGTATCATAAACCAAGCACCCCAAAATGGAAGCATCTCTGTGCCTCTCGAGTATAAGGACAAAGTCATTTAGTGAACACACAGCTGCGGAGGAGTCGCAGAAACAGTTCTGGCTGTCAAGGAAGAGGAGGAAGTGTGTCCACATCCAATAAACCTGACTCGACAAAACAATGAACACCACAATAAAAATAGAAAATGGGAGGGAGGAAAGTGCTACTTGTGTGTGATTTATTCAGTGCCATTTCAAAACCTACCGCTCTACTGGTATGGCACACTTAACTGGACTTCCTCAAGTGTCTTAAAATGAAATCTTGTTCCATAAAGCTACAGAAATATTTCAAAATTAAGGCTAAGGTTGAAAAACTACTGACAGTGACAACGGTGCTGGTATTGTGTTCAAAACGACTTCAGTGATGTTCTTTGTCATTGCTGTCATGTGTGACTTTAAATTATTTAAGCTATCATTTAAAGTTAAAGCTATATCATTTATGTGCAGGTATTTCATAAATCTTCAGTTAACTTAAGCTATGTTAGTTCAGTCTTCTATCCAAAGAAAATTATGGCTTTTGTGACTGAAACTGAATGTAGTAGTTAAAGTTTAGTGGTTAGCATCCTACTGGCGATGCTGTTAGTTACATCTCGTCCTTTTTGTTGTGCGACTCTAGAGACGTCTCATACCTGCAGTTTGACAGCAATGACCACAGAGGTGAGGTCTTTATCCAGCTCCTTTAGCATAATCAGCTTCTTCAGAGTCAGGTTGAACAGCCTGAAGGAAAAAACACACAAAACAAAATTGGATTTATTATCCATTAGTACCATGGCACCCTGTACTGTGTTCATGCTACAAGCAAAATGATCAATCCATCAGTGGTCCATTGATTTGATCTGTCCTGATACGCATTTACCATCAACTACCACTCTTTACTTCCTCACTTATGCAGTTCACTGAGATGAGCATGAGCTCCGCCTGGAAGGTGAAAAATTGATGAGATGCTGTCAGAGTTGTAGGCCCAAAACCAGTGTGTAACCCTAATCCCCTCCCAGCTCCATCGTTATGTTCTCACTCTCAAGAGGACCATCCACTAAAGCCAAATACAACGGAAAGTGACACCTGAAGAGGCGTTTAGTGCAGCTTTGTGTTTTAGTGGATGACAAGCTGGTAAAAAGGATTCAATTCAGCCCACGATGGGAATGAAAATGGTTTGCTATTTCTGTAAAAGTGTCCAAATGAAGCCAACACATGTACTGGGTGTGTGTCCAGCGCAGAAACCAGAGTACAACCTACGCCTTGGACACAAGTTTCCTGCTGCTTAACACACAAAGTCACATTAGGCAAACAAAAGTTACACAAACACTTAAATTGTCCAAAAATACAGAGGCAAACAAGACCACAAGCACTTAAGAAACTGAAATGAAACCAGAAAAAGGACACCACGCCCAACAGCAGCTGTGCAGCCAGGGGTCAGTCTGTTCAATAATTCATCTCCAGGTCTTTAGAGACAGTAAGTAGACCATTAAAACAGAGCTGGTGGGGGCGTCTGGGGGGATATCAAGGAAAGATGGAGAGAAAGGAAAGAAAGAAAAACAAAGATAAAAATAGATCATTTTCTCAAAGGATAATACACAGAAAAAAGGCAAAGGCAGGCAGGATGACAAAGGGCCGGAGAGGGAAAAGATAAGAAGAAGACATGGAAGGGAAATGACAAATAAAAAGGAAATGTAGAGGCAGCTCTCTATGAATAGAGAGAGGAGGAAAAACATCTGTGGATGACAGAGGCTGATTATGTGATGAGAAAGAGATCAACTGACACTGCAGATGTAAATAAAGGATTACTTTATTTAGAGAAGCAACTAAAAATATAAAACATTGTTTGGTTCCAGCTTTTGATACGTGAACATGTGCTGCTTTTCTGTGTTTTATAGCACTTGAACTTGCATAAACTTTGAGTTTTGGCTGAATAAAACAAATACCATCATAGATATTTATGTTGTGTGTCTGTAACCTTTGCTAAAAGCCCTTCTGTCCCTCACTGACTGCTGCAGCATCTGCAAGTTATCCTGCAACTGTTGCAATACCTTTCTGCCACTGCTGCTGTTGCTTAAACAGCATTTATAAGCCCAAACATCCACCACTGCCTGGTCCTGCTGTGCTGGTGTGGTGTGGAGGTCAGGGTCTGGCTTCAACATAAATAAAAGTCTACTCTGTATATTGTATTGGTCATTATGATTTGGATACAAAAGGCAATCAACACAAGCCATAATGAAACCAAAGCCCCACATAGATCGATCACCCAGACCAGACAGAGGTTACGTGGTGACATCCTGTGAGAGGTGCTGACGCACAAACACACGCGTTCTCAAACGTGAAATGCAACCTTTCATGACAACTGTAAAGATTAAAGGCAGCTGGAGTGGGCAGAAAACTGCAGCCCTGATGCAAACACACCCATCCACCCTCTTTCCCATCTCACCTGGGTCTCCCTCCAAATCTAGCCCACTTACTGCCTTTCAGTTTTCTGGCAGCACTCTTTCTGCTCAATCCTGAGGCTTTCTTCACCAGATCAAAGTGGAGAGACTGAACCTATGAATAAAAACAAATCGATTTTTTTCCCCTCTGATAGAAAAAGGGCGGCTAAGATCAGCTCCTGCCTACACCTGCTGGATCCAAGAGGAAGGTGTGGAGGAGGCCGGATGGCAGCTGTTGGTCTAAGATGGGGCTGAAACACCCCGAGGTAAGCCATTAGGGAGGGAGGGGGAAAGAAGGGAGAGTCAGACTGAAAGGCAGTGTGACTGCTGCACTGCAGCATCTCCCGCTGTTTTAGGAAAACAGGATAAAGATGAAAGAAATACGCTCTATAAAAGCCAACTTGCCAACCATTGAACTGTCCTGGTTTTCTGCTGCAACACAACTCCACTACAAAGTTAAACAGTGCATAAGGATGTCTTGGCAATGGTCTTCTGGAATTACACCAAGCTATTTTTCAATAGCAGTGCTAATGTCATACCCTGATTTGATGCCGACGCCAAAATTATACTTATTTAAATTAAATTATCCTAATTTCTAATACAATGTGTCTAAATAAAAAGTAAAGAATGATTCTGGGTGATACCTATGCACATACACTAACACAAAACACAAGTACAAACATAGTGCAATTCTGAAAGAGACGGGCTGTAAAAATATTTGAATTGGCGCTTTAAACTAGCTACAGTAGCTCAGCTCAATCAATTCTGGCATTTGGGTCGGTAGAATACATGTGCGACCCTGCTGTTTGTCCTTCTGTATTGCAGCGATCTGTTCAAGTGCAACACATCTTTCACTGGGGAATCTGAGGGGATGACAGTTCGCCCCACTTGAGTCTGTGTGACCTCAATCTTGGCAGTTGGCACACATCAGAAAGACGCCGCTGTTCTGTAGTGTTTCTCCGCCAGCGTTATCAATCACAAAGCTGACGAGATGCGAAAAATGTTTATGACACCGCTCTGGCCTTCATCATCTGACATCAAGCGGCTTCTAGAGGTTCCTAAAACTCAACGGGCATGTAGTGTGATGAATCAAGTCAGACTGACAGCGCTCTCTGCTCGGTCCCTCAAAACAGTGCACAACTGTGAATAACCAAAGCAGAACCTCTCAAGTTACTAAACAGGGAACACAAAGCTGCTCTCTTAATTCTTATCCACTCAGTGGATCTTTACTTGCACAATGCACTGACTGAACAAACTCCAAATTTCCCTTGAGACAAACAGTAAATAGCCAATCAGTACTTCATTGCTGCTCAGTAAATGGATACAAATACCTGTGGGATTTCTGCAAAGTTTACTCTTCCAAAGGCTGAAACACATGCTTTCCATTAAGGAAATTCAGTTTTACTCTGCCACTATTAGGTTAACAATCAATCATCTCTTTACGAAAGGAAGCAGCTTTAATGGAAGCGCTGTAGGAAAAAGAAACATTTTATAAGTAATGCATAGATCGGTTAAAAAAGCAGAATAGAAATGAAATTCTCTCACAAGTCTCCTGCGGGGGAAACTGCCAGGGCACCATGCCAACGACCCCCGAACTCTTTACTTAACTATTGTGAATCCCAGTGGATGAGACAATCAGCCAAATAGTTAAAAAGCAAAGCCAGACTCACTGCCACACCACAGCCGACGAGTGGAATCACACGATAAAGGTCAAATCTGTCAGTCTGCCCCAAACACTTCCTCTCCAGTCCACTTGTCTACCCCGTTTCCTTCACAGTCACCACACATTATTATCAATCTGAACAAGAAGACAGGCAAGAGCAAGCTCTCAATTTACCGGTCAATCTATCTACTCTCACCTATGGTCATGAGCTTTGGGTCATGGCCAAAAGGGCAAGATCCCGGATACAGGCGGCCGAAATGAGCTTCCTCCACAGGGTGGCCAGGCGCACCCTCAGAGATAGGGTGAGGAGCTCGGTCACCCGGGAGGAGCTCAGAGTAGAACTGCTGGTCCTCCACATCGAGAGGAGCCAGCTGAGGTGGCTCGGGCATCTGTTTCGAATGCCTCCTGGGCGCCTTCCTAGGGAGGTGTTCCGGGCATGTCCCACAGGGAGGAGGCCCCGGGGAAGACCCAGGACATGCTGGAGGGACTATGTCTCTCGGCTGGCCTGGGAACGCCTCTGCATTCCTCCGGAGGATCTGCAGGAAGTGTCTAGAGAGAGGGAAGTCTGGGCATCTTTGCTTAGACTGCTGCCCCCGCGACCCAGTCCTGGATAAGCGGAGGAAGATGGATGGATGGATGGACATATGTATTCATATTCAAAATACATTTATAATAACTCCTACTCTAGCACTGTAGGGCGTAATCAAGTTGGTGAAATTGCATTACTTGTTTTGCTATTTTCAAAATCCATTTGTGGCTTAGGTGGAAACAGAACCATGCATACACATGATTTTTTATCTGTTCTGGAAAGTAGTAGATCTAATCCTAATAAATCAAATCAAATCAGATCCTGCACACAGTTTTGACCAAGCTTTCCTGCAGTTGTCTCAACTCCCTGACTGACACAACCACACAGCCTCACCCATCTGGCACCTACAGACGATTAAACAAACTAAAAAACTCAAGCAGGTGCTGTTTGAGCGAGACTCGCTCCTTTTAACCTTTGAAAGTCGATACCCGAGTGCCCGCGCCAGGTAGCGTGCCTCGCTAGCACTTTTCTAAAACAAAACTCAACAATGTGAGATCAGCTCTCCAGTTACACTATGCTTGACATTGCATCATCAATAAAACACACAGCTGCACACAGACAACTGCCCCGACAACGCCTGGAGCGAGCCACAGGAGAAAGTTAAAGCTTAGCTGGAAGTTCCCTGGGTTACAGTTCCTTTATTGGATGCTTCTGCAAAATATAAAGTAAAAAAAAATCCCACAATTTCACTTGTAAAACATGCACCAACACATTTTCCCTCACGACACTAATTTCACTTCTTCTAATGTGTATCTTGGCAATTTTACAAACTATAGTTCCACAGAAGAGGAGGTAAGGCTTCCACAGTACTACATGTTTGAGGATGTTCGCACCTCACACCAACTCATTTGTTTATTTGCTTCAGGAAGAAGACATGGGTGAATGAAGAGAGCTGACAGAGGAAGAGAACAGTCTGGTAATGGCCGTGTGAAGGCTGAACTCTGACATTCTGGAAAGGCCAGTCGTTAAAATAAACAAAGACAGCGCGTCTGTCAAAGACGCCGATGTGGTTCCGCACATGCAAACACAAAAATAAAGCTACACTGGG